ACTAGCTGCTGCCCATATGGGATGCCGGTGGTGCAGGTGGTAGCTTTACCTCCTATACCACAACGCCAACCTCGAGAATGTCAAGATTTTAACCTGCAGTGTCTTTAAAAAAAACTGTATTATTTATCCTTCATTGGAAAGGCAGATCCACAAAAAGAAGTTGAGACAAAGACCTTTGGGTTCACTCCCCAAGAAAAGTTGAGACAAAGACCTTTGGGTTCACTCCCCAAGTAGTCACGATAGCCAGAGCTGAGCTGATCAAAAGTCAGGAGCCAGGAGCTTCTTCTGGGTCTCCCATGTGGGTGCAGGGTCAAGGCTTTGGGCCATCCTTCAAGGCTTTTCCAAGCCATAAGCAGGGAGCTGAATGGGAAGTGGAGCAGCTGGGACTTGAACTGGTGCCCACACATGGGATGCCAGCACTTGGAGATGGAGGATCAGCCAGTTGAACCATTGCCCTGGCCCCAACCTGCAATCTTAACCACTATGCTGAATGCCCATGTCCAGTGAGCCTGCCCTAGGGAATGTTGGGTAATGTCTGGAGACATCGTTGTGATGTGTCAGTGAAAGGTGCCATGGGCACGCGGTGAGAGGCTGGGGCACAGGAAGCACAAGGCCACCCAGCTGGCAGTGCATGGTATGGGGGCTGACCAAGCCTGGTGGTGTCATGGCTATCATCACCAGCTAGGGCCCTGGTGCCAGCAGCACCCCTCTGCCAGGCTATACCTCTCTCTCAGCCTCAGTTTTTGCTACTTTCAAATGGGAGCCACAATTATTCTGTTACAATTGTGTGTGTTTATGTGGGGAATCCAGGAACCCCATGTACTTTTGGAGGACGGAGCCTCCAAAAGCTAGGCTGCTCTCTCTCTCTCCAGGCTGCAAGGGCAGGGGCATGGAGGTAGCTTGGCTGAGCACTGCAGCTTAGCCAAGCACTGCATCCTTGGGAGCGATATGCACTAAGGCCTCTTGTTGCGTCACCGCCCCTCTTCAGCACGGCCTGGTTGAGTTTAGGAAACAGCAGATACTCCAGCCAAGGTCGTGAGAGTCCCACCAAACTTTGTGCCTCTCTTGCGCCCTCCCCTCCGCCTCTCCACGGGAGAGGTGCCTTCTCTCCAGAACTGCTGTGTCTTCTCACAGAGGCCCTGGCAGCTTCCTGCACCCTGCTCTCCTCCCAAGCTCCAATGCCAGGGACAGACATCAAGCAGCTTCCCCTTCCCCGCCCCCTTCTCTCCCTCCCTTCCATCAGGCTCCAGCTACAAGTTGGCAGGGGGTAAGAAACCAAAAAAAAAAAAAAAAAAAGACAACCAGTGACACCCAAAGGCTCACCCCCCCCCCTCGCCCGGGTGCAGTTAATGCCGTTTTATCAGGGAGATGGCAGAGAGCAGATGCTGCCCAGGCTTCCTGAAGGGACGGGGCAGACAAGAGAAGACCCCAGCAAGTAGAGCTGTCCCACTCTGTGCAGAAAGGGTAGGGACACATTCCTGGGGTCATTTTGAAAGGCCCTCCCCTCATTTCCGGCCGCTGCTGCCAGCCTTGGCTGGGCGCCTGGATCCTGTTGCCATGACGACGGGAAGAGGCGGTGGCGGCAGCAAGCGATGCTGAAGAGAGATGGAGGCTAGTGGGGGTGGGGGTGGTGGCTTGGAAATGAGGATGGGGGCAGGGAGCAGGGGCCAGGGATGCAGGAAGGGGTGAGAGCGGGGCACCCTTTGTCCCTGACCTCCTTGGTGTCCTGTCCCTCTCCCATTGCCAGCCCCCAGCCCCCTCTGGGTGCTGGCTCAGTCTTTGGTCTGAGTCTGGGTCTCTTGCTCCCAGCCCCAGTCCTGCCCCATCTGTCTCTCTCGGGGTCTCTCTCTTCTCTTTTGGCCACCCAGACCCTGCTCCCCTGCATTCCTCTCATTATTTACTCTCCTGTTGTGCTGTTCTCTCGCTCTCTCTTTCTCCTCCTCTCTCTGCATCCTCTCTCGGAAGCATCCTCTCCACCACACTTTCGCCCCCATCCCCAATTCCCCCTCCCGCCCTGCTGGTTCCCCCTCCCTGTCTCTCTGTCTCTCTCCATCTGTCTCTCTTCCCCCCTCGCCGATGAGTCTCTCTCTTGCTCCTCTTCCCTTCTGTTACCCAGATCCTGGTCCCCCCCCTTCCTCTCCCTTACCCCAGCCCTCCCCCGGCGGTCCCCATCTCTCCCCTGGTGGTCTCCTGGTGTTTCTCTCTGGATCTCTGCCTTCACACACTCTCTCTCCAAGTTCCTTCTGCTCCCAGCCTTTGGCTGCCCTCCCCCCCATCGCCTTCCCGGGCTCTGGGTCTCTCTCCCTCCCTTTCCAGATCTCCTCTTCCCCAGCTTCCCTTTGCCACCCGGACCCTGCCCCCCCAGGCACTTCCCTTCCCCCACCCTTCTCCAGCCGGTGGCTCCCCCATCCCTCAGCGGTTCCCCTCCCCCTCCCTCCTCCCTCCCTCCCTCCCGCGTCCTCCGGCTCCGCACTTTACCCAGCGACACGAGAACCAAATTGTCTCCTCACCTTTTTTTTGTTGTTGTTAATCCCGACCCTTACTCCCCGGAGGCCCAAGCCCCCACTCTTCCACCGCCATCTCAACACCCCATTTTCCCCTATTCCTCCCCCCCACCCCCCCACCGCACGCCACCGCCTCCTTCTCCGAGCCTCTCCCCAAGCCAGGTCGGACGCCAGGGTCCCTCAGTGCTGGGAGAGGGGGAACCTGTGAGAATTGGGAACCAACCGGGCTTGTGTGGGGGAGGGTGCCAGCAGGAGGGGTGCTCAAAGCCCCTCGCAGCGCCCCGGAGAGCGGACCACCGTCTGCGGAGGTGAGACAGATCTTTTCTATTAATTGGAGGCGGGGGGATGGCTAAGTGGGGTTCTGTGAAGCCCCCTCCCCACCATTTCCAGAGGAAGGAGCACCAGAGTCAGGGGTCCGCTGCCCCCCTGAATTATGGACAGAAGGGCTCCGAGAGTGGGTCTCCGAAGCAGAGCTTCCCCTGAAACAGACAGGAGGGAAAGATCTTCAAGTCTGGCTGCAGAATGGGCCTCCTGTGCCCCCCCCCCATCTCTCCTTCCCTCGCCCTCTGCCCCCTGGTTGTAGGACCCAGCAGGGGTCACAGGCTCACCCTGGCAGGCGGGCGGGCAGCGGGCTGTGGAGGTGGCCAGGGCTGTTAAGCAAGGGGACACGGGGTACCAGAAGAAGAGGCCCAGAGAGCATGAAGAAACTCTAGATCCGGAGCAGTGGGGGCACAGGGGGATGGGAGAGGGGAAGGGGCTGCCCCGTTAGAGGGCGGCAGGCTGGGGTGCGAGGGTCCGCCTCCCTGGTCAGTGGCTGGCCGTGAGTGGGCAGGTGGGAGTGGAGGTGGGGGAGGGAGGAATGTGTGAGGACACTGGGCCTGGTTGCCATGGAGACACCCCCCAGCCAACCTTTCTCTTCCACGGCCCCCCTCCTGGGAGCAGAGCTGGGACCAGCTGGTGGGGGGGAGGAGAGGGAGGCCAAGGTCACGGTGCCCCAGCACCCAGCGCGTTTCTTCAGAGGCTTCTGGGCTGCTCACCCAGGAAGGGGGCAGTGCGAGGAAGTCAGGGACGCCGGCAGGGGAGACCTGCCTGGGAGAGAGTTCCGTGCCAGGCAGGTGGGGGCACAAAGGTGCCCACGAGGGACATGCGTGGGCCCTGGGGGTGTAGGGAGGCAAGTAGTCCTGCTGGAGAGGAGTTGTGGCCCTGTGGTGGCATCCTGCGGGCTGCCTGGGGGAGGTGTGTGCATGCGGAGGGCGACGGGGGGCTCCTGCGTGGGCTCCAGCGCAGGTGACAGCCTCATGGCGCATGGGGTGGGGGCACTCCCAGGGAGACGAGAAGCTGGGGTGCAGAAGGGGGCCTGAGCGATGCGGAGGAGGGTGGGCTGAGTTGGAGAGGGGGACTCCGTGTGGGTGCAGGGAAGGGTGCAGTGTGTGGTGGTGGTGATGGGGACGTGGGGATGGGCGCTCTAGCCAGCGGGGTCTGGAGGCAGCAGGCACTGCTAGTAGAAGACGCGCTCCTGGAGTGGAATTTTCTTAATGGAGGAGAAAGTGGTGGTGAGGGCCGGCCAGTGAGGAGTTTGCCTGAGTTGTAGAGCCGGCGGGGGCCAGAAGGCAGGAGTTGGTGTTGAGCTGGGCTGGGTAGGGAGTTCCCTCCGAGGTGAAGGCAGACCAGGGTGCTTGGGCTGCAGGGGAGCTGGGGGCGCCGAGAGGGGCTTCCGTGTGCCTTGGGGTGAGGGCTGGGACCTGCTCCTGCTCAGAGGACTCTGCGGGCTGGCCCAGGCCCTGCCAGAGCCAGCCCTGAGTTCTGGGTTTGGGTGATGGGCAGCGGCCGAAGGTCCTCAGGTCCTCTGGTCCTCTGGCCACGGGCAGGTGTTGTTGCAGACCCGCGGGGGGCCCGGGGCTGTTAGGGGTTCCCTGCGGGAGTGAATGGGGACCCTGAAGTGGCAGCTGTGGAAGAGGAGAGGTGGGGAGGGGAAGGGAGGGCTTTCTCTTTCCTGAGTAGGGGTCTGGACTGCAGGGGCTCCTCGTGTAAGCTGGGGTCTCCGGAGGGTCGGGGAGCAAGGCTTAGGAGGGATGCTAAGTGCCCGAGGTGTGTAGGGGTGGGCACAGGAGCTGTCAGGATCAGGCCTGGGACCTGGGGAGGGGTCATGGAGGAGGAAAAGCGGGCTGGGAGCGGACCACCGTGGGGGAGCAGGGTGGTGGTGTCAAGGGACCTGGGGTGCCCTCCTGGAGGGCGGGGGGTGGGGAGGCCAGGGCAGGGGGCTGGGCTAACCGGTCTTCTCTCGTTCCGCCCCCACCAGCCGGTGACCATGGCCGCGCTCTGACCCTCTCCCCGCCGCCGCAGCCGCCGCCGCGCGCCCGCCACGCCCCCCGCCCCTCCGGCCCCGGGCCCCCCGCTTCCGCCTGCGCTGTGTCCCCCCCCAGCCGCCGGCACGGCCCCGCCCCCGCTGCCCCGGTGGTGGCCCACGGCCCCCCGGTTGCCCGTGGTCAAGCTGGAGTCGCTGAAGCGCTGGAGCGAGGAGCGCGGCGTGTGGTGCGAGAAGGGCGTGCAGGTGCTGCTGACCACGGTGGGCGCCTTCGCCGCTTTCGGCCTCATGACCATCGCCATCAGCACCGACTACTGGCTCTACACGCGCGCCCTCATCTGCAACACCACCAACCTCACGGCCGGCGCCGACGACGCGCCTGCCCCCCGCGGGGGCTCCGGCTCCGGCTCGGAGCGCAAGGACCCGGGCGGCCTCACGCACTCGGGCCTGTGGCGCATCTGCTGCCTGGAAGGTAGGGCGCCCCGCGCTCGGTGCCTTCCCCCCGCGTCTGCGACCCCCGCCCCGGGGGGCCCCCTCCGCCTCCCAGGCTTTGCCCCCGGTCCCCCCTTTCGCCGCTCCTCACTCGCCCTCCGCCGGCTGCCTGGAGTCCCTGCGCCTGGGTCTGCCTGCTCTCTCCCAGGCTCCCTCCTCCTCCCCCTCCCCCATGCTGCCCCCCACATCTTCCTCTCCCACCCTCCTTCCTCCTCTGCATCTCCCACTCTCCTGCCCCCCCCCCCAAAAAAAAGAGTAGAGAGGGCAAGAGAAAGTATGACAAATAGTGAACTCTGGGGTGTTGCATAGAGCTGGTATGGGGGCAGGTGTATATGGGTGAGCCAGGCAGGGAGCAAGTGACTGGAGTGGGGTGGGAAGGCGGTGTGGGGAGCAGGCATGGGGGTCTCTGCAGGGAGGCGCTGGAGGCCACAACACAGTGTGTGCAAGGCGCCCTGGGTGGGGTGTGTCTGTGCTTGACTGTGTTGGAAACCAGCGAAGGGAAGCGGTCAGTGAGAGCGGGGCCCACCCTCCCAGCCTCTGGGCGGCCTTGGTGTTCTCTCTGAGCTGGGAGCCACTGGAGGTTGTTGCCGTTACAGGCAGCTCCCCAAATTGGCCGTAGCTGGGGCAGGGTGGAGGAATGGCTGCCTGATGCCCACGGGGCAGAGGGGAGGGATGTGTCCCACATGGGAGCCGGAGCCGGGCTGCTTTTCTGCTTTTCATTCGCTGATGGAATGATTTTGGGAAATGAGAAAGTCTGGGGTGTCTCCAAGGCATGGGCTCACCCTGCTGACATGGGATGGCTATGTCGGCAGGGGAGCGGGGACTGTGGCATCCTTGGCCCCCAAGGATGTGTGTGGAGTGTGGAGTGGCATCCTTGGCCCCCTCTTGTGGTGGCATGACAGCCAGAGTATTCAGTGTCCCCAGAGGTGCCAGCTCTGACCTGGGTATAAACTCCTTCCCTTCCGACCCCGCCCTGCCCGGACCGGGAGTCCTACCCGCCTCACCCAGGGCTTCAGCCTGCATACTGAAGTCACATTTTGTCCAAACAGCAGGTGCTTAACTCTATTTCTTTGGTTTTCTCTTGCAAATGTATGAATTTCCTTTTCTTTTTTTAATGTGCATTTGTTTTATTTGAAAGACACAGAGAGCTACAGGGACAAAGAGTGACAGAGGCGGACGATGATGATCTTCCATCCGTCCGTCCGTCCACCTGCCGGTTCTCTCCCCAGGCCCGGGCCACGCCTCAGCCCAGAGCCTGGGCCTCAGGCCGGCTCTTCTGAGTGAGGGCTTCAGCTCTCCTCTGCTGCTTCCCGTTGGGGGAAGCTGAGCCAGGGCCCAGGGCAGGCTGTCCAGGAGGGATGCAGGCTTCCCTCCTGGCGTCTTTAACCACGTGCCACGTTAAGGGAATAACAGGCTTGGTGAGGGACATGTCGAGACTGCTGGCCATCTAGTCTGCAGCATTCCTGCTTCCCTAGTGACGCCAATCACTTGTGGACAGTGTGCCTGCATGGGGAAAAGCATGATCCAGTCCATGGTGTCCGTGCAAGACAGGGGCCACTGGTGAACCTCGTGCAGCCACTGGTGACACCCATATCCGAGTTCCAATTCGGCCGCCGCCGCCGAGGCGCTCCTTCCTTACCGACATGTGCCTGGGAGACAGCGGGTGCCCAAGCGCTCGTGTCCTTGGCACCCACCCACATGGGAGCTGCAGATGGGGTTCCTGGCTCTTCCAGGTGGCCAGCAGCCCCAGCTATTGGGCGACATTTGGGAAGAGAACCAACAGATGGAAGAGCTCTCCCCTCTCTCTCAACCTTTCAAACATATAAATGAATCTTTTCAAAAGACGTGCGAGGAAGGTGACGGAGGCTTGGCCACAGGCGACTGGGGAACGCAGGGCCAGTGGGAGCCCACGGGGAGGTCAGCGGAGACTGTCCTGACTGTCCCCGTCAGCATGCCGCTCTGCTGTGACTGCCTGTGGGCGATGACGTGGCGAGGCAGGCGCCAGGAGGGAAGGCCAAGGCTCAAGAGGCGGGCAGCCAAGGCCACACAGCCGAAACGTGGCAGAGATAGGGTTGGGATCTAGCTCTGATTCATTTCCATGGGAACAGAATGGTCTCTCAGCCTCCTGGGGTCCCCATGTGTGAGCTGTGCTCGCCTGCCTGTTTGTGGTCACAGCAGCCGTAGCCCCGGGAGGTAGCTGAGCCCGTCCCCTCCTGGCTCTGCCCAAGGCCTGGTCAGGGAGACCCCTGTGTGTGACCCTGTGTGCCTGAGCCCTGAGCACCTGCTGTGGGTGGTCACAGCAGCCGTAGCCCCGGGAGGTGGCTGACCACGTCCCCTCCTGACCTTGCCCAGGACCCCTGTGTGTGACCCTGTGTGCCACCCCATTCCCATCTGGGGCGGGGTGCAGTGAAAGTGTTAAATCAGCACGTGAGAAAGTTTTTGGAAGATGATCCGCTCGTTTCGGTGTTCCCCAGAAATGTTTGAAATTCACACGCAGGGCTTTAGCTTTGTTTGTTTTTTCGTGTTCCCGTGTCTCCTGGAAGTCTTGAAGCTTGAGGGCCCGGCAGGTGCTGGCTGAGGCCCTGCCCCTGGCTCTGTTTTGTGGTTGCTGCTCCTACGTTCCTCTTCCTCTTCTTGCTCCTCCAGAACTCGGGGCACTAAACCTGAGTCCTCCTCCCCGGCCCCCAGGGTGCCCCGTCTCTCGCCCAGCACTGCCTGCCGGAGCCACCTTTCTGTTTTCAGCCCTTACGGGCAGCCGGGCAGCCGTGTTAAGTGAGTCATCTGTCGGTACCACGTTTGGTCTAACCCAGGGTCAGCTGACCAGAGGTAGAAACTGTATTCTAGAATATTAGACGTCCTGTCTATCTTTCTCGTGTTGGGCCTCTCTCAGGAGCCAGCTTAGCAGGGGTCCCTGTTGATCAGTGCCCAGCTGGGCTTGGTGTCTTGGGAGAGGACCACAGCAGCCACTCCTCCCATCAGGACCAGAAGCTGATGGTCAGAGAAGGGGAGTGATAGCCTGAGGCCACCCAACCTGCCTAGCTGGTGCACCTGCTGGGATCTGTGCTTCACAGGCTCTGGGGGGCTGGCGTGGAGCCCCAGATTTGATCATGAGCTTCCTAGGGCCAGAAGCAGTGTTACAAGGATCCCAGCAAAAATGATAGAGGTTCCAGGGATGCCCCCCGCCCTGCCAACCGTCCACCAGAGAAGGGGCTTCAGTAGGCTGGTCCCCAGAGAGTTCCAGGCAGTATCTATGACTCCCTTGGCATTCGTTTCCCCACTTGGGAAGTCTGTCTCCACCTAAGCCATGGTTTCCCGTAACCCATTCATTCACCGTCAAGGACGCCAGCACGCTGGCCGGGAGAAGGAACACACAGGGTGGGGTCTGGAGGGCGTGAGAGCAGCAGCTGGGCCCTCAGCCCCGTGCACCTGTCCCCCATCAGGGTGTGTCTACACACCTCTGGAGGCTTCGTCACACAGGCCCATGGGCTTACTAACTCATTCGCCAGCCCTCCGTCCTCCCCCGCAACAAGCTTCTCATCACGGCTGCCTGGCTCGGGTCCCTCTGGGGACCAGCTCCCATTCAGGGAGAGAGAGAGAGCTGTGGTGTGGTGTGGAAGACACGCTGACCAGCCAGGGGATTTCAAGACGCATGGCAGAGGCTAAAGGCTTTCTTTGAGAAAGTGAATCTGCCACTGGGCCAAGGTCAGGAGCAACAGCCAGTGTGGCCGCTGAGCTCCCAGCAGGTGCGGCTGGCGTGGTTGCCGTCGCCACGCTCCTGGGCGCCATGTGCTTTTTCACGCTCCGTCTCATTCCATTATCACAACCGTTTTGAGACAATTGTCCTGATCCCATTCAAGGAGCCCAAGGAGCCCAATCCCTGAGTCTGCACCCAGCGCCCTGCTTGGGTGTTCCGTGTTCACTGGTTCCTTTCCTGTTTTTGTTTTTAAATGGTGACCAAACAGACCCCAGCTGTCCTGACCAGCTGAAGCACGGACCGCGCACCTGCTCTGCAGCTCCCCACCCCGCTGTCTCCCACACCTTCTGCACCCCCATCCTGCTCCCTGTCGCTTCAATTCCTCCAGGCGCCCCGGGACTAGGAGGCTCTCGAGGCATGTGTTGTTTTGTGACTGGCACGTGTCACTCAGCCCCAGGACCTCAAAGTCCATCTGTGTGTGTCGTGGAAGGCATCAGCATGCCTTCCTGAGCATCCCGGCACCTGGTGATGGATGGGGTTCTGGTCCCCTCCACCTGCGGGCTTTTGTGACTACAGCACTACTACAAACGCAGGTGCACAAGCGTCTATTTGAGTCTCTGGATCCGATTCTTCTGGGTAGACACCCAGAAGTGGGATGGCTGGATCATATGGCGGTTTTATTTTACGGTTTCTGGAGGAGCTGCCCTCCTGTTTTCCATAGCGGCTGTGCCACTTCACATCCCTACGACAGGTGTACGCGAGTCCGAGTTTCTGTTCTGACCAACACTTGTTATTTTCTCTATGTGTTTGTTTCAAATTGCAGGCATCTTAATGGGTTCAAGATGGTCTCATTGTGTATTTTATCTTTTATTTGAAAGGCTGCAATACAGAGAGGGGGGAGGGAGAGCGATACAGAGAGATCTTCTACCCCCTATTTCATTCTCTGAGTGACCATAACAGCCAGGGCTGAGCCGATCCGAAGCCAGGAGCCAGGAGTTTCCTCCAGGTCTCCCACGTGGGTGCATGGGTCCAAGGCTTTGGGCCATCCTCTGCTGCCTTCCTTTGATCAGCAGGGAGCTGGGTGGGGAGAGCGTCAGCCAGAACTCAAACGCTGAGAAACCGCTGCTGCAGACACAGGCTTAGCTGGTGATGCCACACCTCCAGCCCCCTCCCGGTGGTCCAGATCCAACTTCCCCAGTGACCGGTGATGCTGGGCACCTTACTTGGCCCCTGGTCAACACTGCTTCATGAAAGCCATTTGTTAAGCTTTCACTGTGTGCGTGGCATCTCTGTTGCCCAGGAGCTTGGAGACAGACTGAGCTGTGACCTGATGTGTGCTTTCGGGTCGTCAGCTTCTACACCAGGCAGCGGGTACAGCAGACAGCCCCAGGTCCTCAGCTTCCATGCCAGGGAGCAGGTAAAGCAGACAGCCCCAGGTCCTCAGCTTCCACGCCAGGCAGTGGGTACAGCAGACAGCCCCAGGTCCTCAGCTTTCACGCCGGGCAGCAGGTACAGCACAGCCCCAGGTCTTTCTCTTTGCCTGGATCCAGTTCTCATGCCCCCACATCTGCTCTACAGAGGCAGGACTGGAAGCAAGCTGGTCTATGCCGATAGGGTCCCTACATAAGGATGGGCAGGAGTCAGGCGCCTGGCCTTGGCAGCTGCTCCAGCGGCTAATGTCCAGCCATCACCTGGGCGGCTACGTACCTGTCCTAGGGGCCTTGGGAGTGTGGCCGGGTCAGTCCACCTGGGACACACTGGGCAAACGTGGGTGCCCTGGCCTTGCTCTCAAGCCTGGACACATTTTTCTCATCATTCCTTGGTGCCTGCTGTTTTGCTGCCCACCTTGGCCTCTGACCCCTCCCCACCAGCCTGGGTCCATGTTCTCCGTCCGTCCATCCGTCCATCCATTCACTCACAGGCCGTCCTCGAGGCCTCTGGCATGCCAGGCCCAACGAAGCCAGACTCCTGCCCTCCCCGCCTCGGGCCTCCCAGCTCGCCAGGGACCCACGTCAACCCAGAGAAGTGTGCATGTGCCTATGTGGGAGTGAAATGTGTCAGTGTGTGTGAGGGAATGTGTGTGTGCAGACACATATGTGTGCATCTGTGAGGTGTCTGCCTTGTGAGCGTATGTCAGTGTGTGTGTGTGTGTGTGCGCTGCTTCCTGCTGGAGGCACCAGACCAAGCCAGTGGGGCGCGGACACAGACGGTGTCTGTGTCTTTCTTGGACTCCAGGTTGGAGGCAAGGTGGCAGAACCTGTCCAGGGCAGGGGTTGGTGGGGACGAGGCCCCGACAAGGCCTCAGACCCCTCGGAGGACCCCTGTTCCAAGGGGAGCCTGGGAAGCTTTCCTGCTCACGCAGCCGCGGGGCCCCGGGCGGGAAGGGGGTCCCTGCCAGCCCCCAGCAGCATGGGGCACTCCTGGAGACCGGAGTCTGGACCTCAGGAGTTGGCTCCACTTCCTTCCTCTCCTTCCCTCTCCCTCACCCCCCAACAAGTGAGGGGGTCCCAATCGCGGGGACCCCCCCGTGTCTCGTGTGGGGGCGGGGAGGGTCTCCTCCCTAGGGGCTGCCCCACCCACCACCCCGTCCCTCCTCCAGGACTGAAAAGAGGCGTCTGCGTCAAGATCAACCACTTCCCGGAGGACACGGACTACGACCATGACAGCGCGGAGTATCTGCTCCGTACGTGGGGACCTCCCCGGGGACCCCCGCACTTAGATGGACACGCCGAGATGGCGTCCCGGCCAATCCCAGGCCAGATGCTGAGGTCCTCTGCCTCCCGATTGGCTCAGTGCTTTGTCGCCCGCCCCTTTCTCTCACCTCGGGGCGGAAGAGGGGCGGGGGACAAATCCTGGGTGCTGATTGGCCATTGCAGCCTTGGCCCACCCGCGGAAGCTCTGCTAAGTGACTGGCGGTAAATTCTGGGCTGGGATTGGTCCGTGCTCCTAGGGGCCCGTGAGCAGACTGGCCAATCCTGGGAGGAGGCTGGGGAAACCTGTGCTGTGATTGGTTAGGTGCCCCGAGAACCAGGAAAAGCCTGAGTCCTGATTGGCTGCCACCTCAGGCTCAGAAATCCCGTGGTAGAAAGAGGGAAGATGGCGCCAGGAAGGGAACAGGGAGAGACCCGAGAAGGCAGCCGTGCTGGGGGCGCCCGGGTGGGGCCGAGGGGCCAGCGCCGCTCCCTCCGTGCTGCCCCGCAGGCGTCGTCCGGGCCTCCAGCATCTTCCCCATCCTCAGCGCCATCCTGCTGCTGCTGGGCGGCGTGTGCGTGGCGGCCTCCCGGGTCTACAAGTCCAAGCGGAACATCATCCTGGGCGCGGGGATCCTGTTTGTGGCGGCAGGTGAGAGGCAGAGTGAGGGGGCGCAGCGTGTGTGTGCGCGTGTGCAGGTTCCTAGCATACTGTGGCCCCAGGCGGGACTCGAACCCCAGCCCTGGCTCACGGGGAGGCGGGGCAGTGAGGGAGGAGGGAGGGGAGGGGCTAGGGATGAGAGGATGGGGCCAAGGGCAGGAGTGAGTGATTGGCATGCCGGTGGGGCGGGGCTGGTGGGCGGGGCGGAAACGGGTGGGCGGAGACTATAGGGAGGGGCCAGCTCGGTGGGCGGGGCCCGCGGGGAGGGGCGGGGCCTCCGGGAAGGGCCGACCCTCGGAGATCCTGGCTGGTTTCCTGTTTTTCCGGGGAGGCTAGGCCAGGGGGAGCGGGGCTTTGGGGGACGCACAGGGCAGAGGGGTCGGGGCCCACACGAGCCCCCCGCAGGGACTGGACAGTGGAGAGGCGGGGTTCCCAGGGCAGCCCCCTCGCAGGTAAGGAGCTAAGGGGCAAGAGAATGGCACTGGGGGGATTACTGTTGTTGAATGCAGGGGAGGAGTTCGCGAATGTGAGGATGTCAGGCGTGCTTGGAGAGGCTCAGGCCATGGGCGGCGTGCCTGGTGCAGGGGTGGTGCCTATGTGGGGCGGGGCCAGCCGGGGCAGCCAGTGGGCGGGGCCAGCCGGGGGCGGGGCCAGCCAGGGCGGGGCTTGACCTCCAATGCACGCAGACTCCGGACCTTCAGGGAGGGCCTGCAGCAGCCAGCCAGGATGGAGGAGGTGGGAGCAGCCAGGGCGCAGGCTGGGGACAGTCAGGGGGTTTACCTAGTTACCGGCTCAGAGGAGCGGTGGGCGGGGCCCCAAACGGCAGGGGCGGGGCCCGGAAATGGGGCGGGGCTCAGGCCAGCGGCAAGAGCAGGGGAAGGGGCCAGGTCGCAGGGCGGTGCCTAGCGCAGGGGGCGGGGCGCAGACCAGTAGGGCGGGGCCTAGAGGACGAGGGAACCTAGTGCAGGGGGCGGGGCTCTGGTGAGGGGGCGGGGCCGTGTCAGCGGGGCGGGGCTCTCCCGCGGGGGGCGTGGCTGTGGGCGGGGCGGGGCTGTGGGCGGGGCTCTCCCGCGGGTGGGCGGGGCTCTCCCGCGGGGGCGGGGCTGTGGGCGGGGCTCCGCCGGCGCGGCCCGGGCGGCCTCGAGGCTCCCGTCTGCCGTCCCCGCCCAGGCCTGAGCAACATCATCGGCGTGATCGTGTACATCTCGGCCAACGCGGGCGAGCCGGGCCCGAAGCGCGACGAGGAGAAGAAGAGCCACTACTCGTACGGCTGGTCCTTCTACTTCGGCGGGCTGTCCTTCATCCTGGCCGAGGTGATCGGCGTGCTGGCCGTCAACATGTACATCGAGCGCAGCCGCGAGGCGCACTGCCAGTCGCGCTCGGACCTGCTCAAGGCCGGCGGGGGCGCGGGCGGCAGTGGCGGGAGCGGCCCCTCGGCCATCCTCCGTCTGCCCAGTTACCGCTTCCGCTACCGCCGCCGCTCCCGCTCCAGCTCCCGCTCCAGCGAGCTGTCTCCGTCGCGGGACGCGTCCCCGGGCGGCCCCGGCGGGCCCGGCTTCGCCTCCACGGACATCTCCATGTACACGCTCAGCCGCGACCCGTCCAAGGGCAGCGTGGCGGCGGCGGGCGGCGGGGCGGCGGGCGCGTTCGGCGGGGCGGCGGGGGCCGGCGGCGCGGGCGGCGAGCGGGACCGTGCGGGCGCGCCCGGCTTCCTCACGCTGCACAACGCCTTCCCCAAGGAGGCGGCGGGCGGCGCGGGCGGCGGGGTCACGGTCACCGTCACCGGGCCGCCCTCCGCGCCCGCGCCCGCGCCGCCCGCCGCGCCCGCCGCGCCCGCGCCCGGGACCCTGGCCAAGGAGGCCGCGGCCTCCAACACCAACACGCTCAACAGGAAGACCACGCCGGTGTAGGGGCGCGGGGCGCGGGCCCCCCGGGGGGCGTCCGGGGCGCGTGCGCGGGCGCGCGTGCAACCAGGCCACGGGTGTCCGGGCTCCCCGCGAGCGCCCGAGAGACTGCGAGGCCCCTGCGCCCTCTGCCCGCTCCGGGGGCGCCCGCGGGAGCAGGGACCCCAGGCGCCGGGAACGGGCAGCGTCCTGTTTTATTTATTTTGGGCCGGGGGCGGGGCGGGGCGGGGAGAAAGGGCGGGACTTCGGGGGAGGGGGGAGGGCCGTGGTGTTTTTTGCAGTTTTGAGATGTTTTCTTTCTCATGTTTCGCTGTGTGCATGTGGGGGCGGGGGGAGGGGAGGGAGGGACTCTCGGTCCAGCCCAGCTCCCGGGGGTGGGGGGCCCGTAGCTCACCCGACATGTAGTTACACCTACAGACCACGTCAGACCAGACGCTCTCCGTGACGACCCAGAGCACGCGCAGGGACGTGGGGAGGGACGCGGGCACTCACTCCCCTCTTCATTCATCATTGCACAAGGGCTTATTAAGCACCTGCTGTGTACCAGGTACACAGCAGCTGCTTGGGGAGGGGACTACGCAGGGGCAGACAGGGACTCGGTCCCTCACCATCGCGGTTCTGAGCTGGCGCTCAGTTCCCGGCAGGGAGTAGGGCAAAGTGCAGAGCTGCCCCAGGAGCCGAACCCAGGGCCTGGGGAGTCTCGTGACCCCGGATGGCAGGAAGGCAGACCCATGGGGCTGGGGGAACTGTCCCTGGGGGCCCAGGACCAGCCTGGGCAGGCGCTGCAGCCGAGGTCAGAGGTTAGACTGGGTTCCCGGGTTTAGGGATGAGGAGGGGCGTGATGTGCAGGGTGCACAGAGGGACGATCGGAGCCTGGAGACGCTGCAGTGCCGCCCCCACGCCGAGAGACCCACTTCCTGTGACAGCACAATGGCCGACTGGGGACATGGGCATGGAGCCCTGGGCTACACTCATGCATTCATTCAGACACTTGGGAGCCTGTGCCGGCTGCACCCCAGGGCTCACGCCCGTCCAGCCCCCAGGCATGCTGGAGGGTTGGGGGGAAGGTGGAGATGGGTGGTGCAGCTGCAGAGACCCTGGCAGGTGCTAGGAGTGGACAGTCCTCAGGGACGCCCTGCACGGGTCTTCAGGGGGAGGGGGTGTTGGATGGAGTGGGGGAGGGGGCAGAGGAAGAGTGCCACTAAAAAAACCTCAGGGACTGGGTGGGGACAGCGCCCACGGTTCTGGGACGCTCAAGTCCAGGGGAAGCGGGAGGCCACGGTCTGTGGCTGCCGGAGCTCGGGTTCAAGGGCAGACCAACAGCAGTTAAGCTGGGGTGGGGGAGGTGGCACAGAAGGAATGTCGATAAGGCAGGCAGGACAGCCCTGGCTACTTCTTGGGGACCGCCCTATGTGCCAGGACTGTGGGGCAATGGTGGGGGAGTCAAGGTGGGGTGCATCCTGCCCCCCCCGGGGGGCTTTCCACTGTGGGAAGGTGGATCTGGCTCCAAGCACCAGGAGGAGGTTCCGTGGGCGCCGGAGCTCCAGCGTGGGTGTGGGCTTCCCAAGGTGGACCTTTGCCCCAAGGCACCAGGAGAAGGTGCCATGGGCGCCAGAGCTGCAGGGCGTGAGCAGGGGAGATGAGCAGCTGCTGGCTCCAGGATGTGGATGCAGCCGCTGAGGCCGGGAAGGACCCAGTGTGGGCAGGACAGCTGGAGACAGTGGCAGGGGGAGACCCTGAGTGAATCCAAGACATGGGAGGAGAGACCCAGAGGGGGTAAGGCGGCCAGGAATGACGCTGGCAGAAAGCCGACCGAGCAGGCGGTGGGAGGTGCCCAAACTAGAAACCTGACAGACAAGAGGAGGAAAACCACTATTCCTCGTGGGTGCGTCCTTCTTCCAGTGCCCACGGGGTTAGCAGCCTGCTCCAGACTCAGTGCAGATCCAGGGAACATGGCAGTGAGTGGATGCACCAGGCCCACAGGGGACGGGCGTGCCAGCGACCAGAGGCAGCACACAGGGCCAGCCATGAGCAGGGTGACTGAGGGTGGACCTCGTGCCGTGGACCTGGCAGGCTCTGAGCACGGCTTGCCAGGACCCATTTATTCTACTTAAGCCAAGCAGATAACAACAGAGTCACATTCCGTGCTCAGGAGCCGGGCACGGGGAGCGAGGACAGGGGTGGAGGGACCCAGGGCGCTCAGCGTGAGGTCTGCTGGGAAAGCCCAGCTGGGGTGTCGGGTAGCCAGCCCAGCCCAGCCGGGCAAGTTGTGTCAGCAGAAAGGGTAAGGTTTCAAGCCATAGGATTTGGCCAGCACCTTGGGGGGCATGCATGGCACACAAGATGGGGTACCACAACAGGGAGCTGAAAAGGAATGGCTGAGAGGTCGGCAGGACCGTCGGCTGTCAGAGGCAGTGTCCCAAGGGGAGAGGCCGGGGGCAGATCCCCAGGAGGTGGGGCCTTGGGCTTGGTACACGGCATGGCTCGGTGCCTTGATTGTGGTTTTAGCTTAGGCCAAGGTGGTGGAATTCCTGCTAGGTGTCCGAGCAGTTATTTGTTTGTTTATTCATGACATAGAATGGACAGGAGAGGCAGGGTGACAGGCAGGCAGGTAAAGCATCCGTCTGCAAGCATTTTGTGAGGAGCCCCACCCAGCTGCCACACAGAGACAGAAGCGGGGCGTTGGGGGGTGGTCAGCCTGGGAGGGGATGGAGGCCAGGGGTCACCATCTCACCCCATTCCTCATCCCTCCCTCCATGTAAGGACCACTGCACACTTACTGCCACAGGGTGCCAGGACGGGTCCTTCCTGTCCCTGGCAGACAACCAGGCCAGGGTGGCACGCGCTCCCACAGAGGGACCCAGGGCAGGGCAGTCCAGGCAAGCCCACGCAAGGATCCCACCCGGGCCGGCTGCCGGCCACACAGCTGTCCCGTCCCTGCCCCCGGGGGAGCTGGAGCTGCTTGGACGGTCCCCCTGGACGCCGAGTAAATAAAGCTGATGAAGACGCTGCTGTTCCGGCTCTGCGCCCGCCTGCCCCAGGCTGAGGACCCAACCGGGAAAAGGGTCCCCCAACCTTCAAACCCCGGGCTCCCGCTTTGGGGCCCCAGGCCCTGTCCCCCACCCCCACCCCCGCATTGCCTCCTCCGTTAGAGCTGCGAGTGCAGGTCCTCACCCTGCCTGCTGGCAGCACGGATTCCAGGCTTGCCACTCCTACCCCCGCTCCCCCTGGGCAGCGGCAGAGAGGGAGGTGCCTGGAATCGGGGCGTCACCAGCCATCCGCCTCGCCCCTTAAGGAAACCCAAGTCCCTCAGGCTCCGGCCCCCAGCCCCTCCTCCCCGGGGAGACTCCCTCCCCCCACCCCGCCCCGTCCCCTTAAAATATCTGGGATCCCTATGGCAACCGGCGCGGGGCGACAGGTGCGGGGTGTTATTTACGGGTCAAGCCCGAAATAGCCCGGGGCGAGGGTGGGCAGGCGGGGCGAGGGTGGGCAGGCGGCGCCCGGCCCTGGCCAGGGATTGCCAAGGTGCAGCTGAGCCTGGAGCCCGGGCGGCCTGCGCTTGGAGCCGCCCCACCGCGACTCAGACCCCAGTTCCGAGAGCGTCCCGGCCTGGGAGATCCCCGCGCGCTCCGGGCTTCTGGCAATGGCTCGCATCCCCCTCCTGTGAGTCCGCACGGGTGCCTGGTTCCCTGGGACTCCCATCAGCCAGCGCCCGACTGTCCCCTGTTCCGTGGATGCTGCGGCTTCCGCTGTCCCTTGGAGACCCGGGGGAAAGCTGTGTGCCCCTTCTGAAGACCTCAGTTCCTGCGCTTCCTAACTCACGTGGACCCCAGCTGGGAGAAAGCAGACTGTGGGCCTGTATCCTCTTTGTGCAGGACCCCAAGTTACCAGCCGGGGGTCCCCAGCGGCCTCGGGGCGCTGGCTGTCTTCTCTGCCAGGCTCCAAACTTACTCCAGGCCTTCCCAGCAGCCAACTGGTCCGCCCTCCCTGTTGGCAGTTCCTGCGGAGCCCGGGATCGCGCCCCCTTCCTAGCCCTGCCCCTTGCAAGGCCCCAGCCGGGAACGCAGGACGCCTCACCTCGCCCGTGGAAGCGCTGTCCAGGCCCACCTGCCGTCGGAACCATGATGTGGTCCAACTTCTTGATGCAAGAGGAGGACCGGAGGCGGGCTGGCCGGAGGCGGGCCCGGGGACAGCCGCAGCTTGGGCTGACGCCTGAGCGGGAGGGCCAAGTGAAACTGGTGCTGCTGCTGACCGCTGTGGGGGCCGTGCTGGCCGTGCTGGCCGTGGGCACCGAGTTCTGGGTGGAGTTCAACACCTACAAGGCCAACGGCAGCGCCGTCTGCGAGGCCGCCCACCTGGGGCTCTGGAAGGTATGCATCAAGCGGCTGTGGCAGGCCGATGTGCCTGTGGGCAGGGAGACCTGCGGTCCTGCGGAGCTGCCTGGAGGTGAGAGTGCAGGGCTGGGCCTTGCTACACCACAGAGGGCCTGAGGCCCAGGGCTGCCTCTGCTCCCAGACCCCAATACAGCGTGGGTCTCAACCCATCTTACGTAGAGGACCTGTGTCCCCCCAGCTCAGCCTGCACCCCCAGCTCAGCCTGCACCCCCAGCTCAGCCTGCGTCCCCAGCTCAGCCTGCACCCCCAGCTCAGCCTGCGTCACCAGCTCAGCCTGAGTCCAGCTCAGCCTGTGTCCCCAGCTCAGCCTGCACCCCCAGCTCAGCCTGCGTCCAGCTCAGCCTGCACCCCAACTCAGCCTGCACCCCCAGCTCAGCCTGCGTCACCAGCTCAGCCTGCGTCCCCAGCTCAGCCTGCACCCCCAGCTCAGCCTGTGTCCAGCTCAGCCTGCACCCCAACTCAGCCTGCACCCCAACTCAGCCTGCACCCCCAGCTCAGCCTGCATCCCCAGCTCAGCCTGCGTCCCCAGCTCAGCCTGCACCCCCAGCTCAGCCTGCACCCCCAGCTCAGCCTGCGTCACCAGCTCAGCCTGAGTCCAGCTCAGCCTGTGTCCCCAGCTCAGCCTGCACCCCCAGCTCAGCCTGCGTCCAGCTCAGCCTGTGTCCCCAGCTCAGCCTGCACCCCCAGCTCAGCCTGCCTGTCTGCTGTTCAGTGCTCAGGGTTGCTCCTGTAGCTGGACTCACAGACCAGCTGGTACCAGAGTCCATTCTGAACTCCCCCAAATCCTGTCACCCCAACCAGCCTGGAATCCCACAGTAGGCTGTGTCTCTAGACCACCCCCTGCTCCCCAGGCCAGCCAGGCCACAGATGTGTCAGAGCCCACCACCCTAGGCTGAGCTGTGTCAGGGATCCCCCTCCCCAGGCCGAGCTCTGTTTCAGCCCCCCAGGCTGAGCTCTGTGCCGGAGCCCCTCAGGCTGAGCTGTGTGTGTGTCAGCCTCCCCAGGCTGAGCTGTGAGAGCCCACCTCCCCAGGCTGAGCTGTGTCAGGGGGCCGCTCCCCAGGCTGAGCTCTGTGTTGGAGCCCCCCAGGCCGAGCTGTGTGTGTGTCAGCCGCCCAGGCTGAGCTGTGAGAGCCCACCTCCCCAGGCTGAGCTGTGTGTGTGTCAGCCCCCCCCAGGCTGAGCTGTGTGTGTGTCAGCCCCCCCCCCCCAGGCTGAGCTGTGTGTGTGTGTCAGCTCCCCCCAGGCTGAGCTGTGTGTGTCAGCCCCACCCCCCAGGCTGAGCTGTGTGTGTGTCAGCCCCCCCCAGGCTGAGCTGTCATCCTGTCACTGCTCTGAGAGTTCCTGCACCTCTTTTCCCTCAGGAGGTATCCCTCTGGGATCCCACCAAGATGGGGCCCCTCGTCCTCCCCCTCGGGATGGAGATCTCACAGCACATCTAGCTGCGTGGGCCACAGCCTGAGCGTTGAGTCCTACGTCAGCCGCAGCTGCAGTGGCTGCTTGGTCCCAACGGGCATAACCTGCTCCCACCACCCTGGCCACCACCCAGCCCCTTGCTGCCGCAGGGTGGGCCTCACACCTGCCCGGCTCCTCACTGACAGGTGCCCCCCGGGGGGCCAGGGCTAGCGTGCCCATGATCTTACCTTCAGCTTTGCAGGTGGGGGCTTCCCTTGTCCCCGCTCTACCTGCCTGCACCCATCATGTGCCTCAGTTTACCCAGGGGGTGGACTAGATGAATCCAGCATTTTTTCCCACCGATTTTAAGACTTCTTGCACTTCAAGCACACGAGGTTGAGTGAGTCTTCGGTCTGTGTGATCTTTCTTGAGCATCCTTTTACTTCATGATCTGTTTCTTAGAATTTCTGACTCAGCTCTGCAATATGGTTGATAGACAAATGTGAACGCGGATTTGGTCTTGGAGAAGATACAGTGCTTGTACGCACAGTTTTGATGAAATATTTATTTGAAAGGCAGCATTAGAGCATCAGTCATCCGTGGGCTCACTCCTCAGATGGCTTCGATGGCCAGGGTTGGACCAGACTGAAGCCAGGAAGCAGCAGCTTTATCTCATGTCGGCCCCTGGGAAGTACCACGCCCCCGCGGCTGGCGGTCACGCGTGGGGCCATCGCTGGCCCCGCAGTCAGCGAGCGCTCCGCCATGGCCAGGCCCCATCCGCTCTCCCGAGGCCGGTTCCCTCCCACCCTCCCAGGGTTTGGCACTGCCATTTCAGTCTCGCTGGGCTGGGCAGCACCTCCCGGCTGGCTACAGGAACCCGCGTGCCTTTGGGACCTGCTGAGCCAGTGTCTCCCCCTGGATTCCCATTCATGCCCCACGCATCTGGGTCAACCTCTCCTCGCGCTGCCTGGCGGGGGCCCTTTGTGTCTGGACAGGCAGGATGTGATGTGAGACCTCCTGTCGCCTGTGTCCTTTGCTGACTAAAGCCATTCAGAACGTCTCATCACAGCAAGCCAGCACGGAGATCCTGTCTCCGAGTGCCCAGGCGGCCGACCTCAGGGCTGGGGCCTGGCTCCCGGTCTGCGTGCTCCTCACATCTCCTCCTCAGGCTGTGGGCGTCCGAGTCCAGCCCCATCACTGCCTCCCTCTCTCTCTCTCTCTCTCTCTCTCCGCCCCTGCAGAAGCCAACTGCACCTACTTTAAGTTCTTCACCACAGGGGAGAACACTCGCGTCTTCCAGAGAAGCACCAAGAAGGGTGAGCATTGCCGGCCCTGCCTCAGTGTCCCACCAGCGACGGGCCCGAGGGGCCGGCCCGGGCAGGCTCCGTGAGCCAGCAGGAGCTAGGCAGCCCTGGTGCACCTGTGAGGTGGAGGAAGGATCCCGTGCACATGAATGGGCACCTGCCCGCGTGCGGAGCCCTGCCTTATCCTCGGGATATCAGAGGGAGGTTGGGTCAAGATTTCCCTGGGAGGGAGATGAGGGCCAGCGGTGACCAGTGAGAGTCTTGGGTCATCCCCTATGAGACATCTGCACACTCGTGACAAGCCAGAGGCAGGTCACAGCTGGCCACATCCACATCTTTCCAACCCCTCTGAGAGCCTTCACTCCTAGAGCAGTGTTAAGACGCCAGCGGGATGGTCTCCCGCTTGCCAACTCCCGTCTCGTTTCTGAACCCTCGGTCTTCCCAGTTCCAGGCTCCCATCGAGGTGTCCCTTCCCTCCCCTACCCCCACTAAGGCAACCTGTTACTCCCCCGCCCATGGCCTCTGCTTCCCCCATCCCCACGGAGGCAGCCCCTCGTTCCCCCGCCCACGGCCTCTGCTTCCCTGTCCCCGCAGAGGTTAACGTGGCAGCTGCGGCGGTTGCAGTCTTGGGCCTGGCGCTCATGGCCTTGGGCTGCCTCTGCGTCATCATGGTGCTTAGTAAAGGTGCTGAGTCCCTGCTCCGAGTCGGGGCTGTGTGCTTCGGCCTCTCAGGTGAGGGCAGCAGCCTGAAGGCCGAGGTATTGCAAATGGGAGGTGGGAAAGTCTGAGTGCTAGTGCGTGCTGGGAGGTGGGGCTTTCAAGCACTGTAGCATCTTGGGAAATGAGGTGGTCAAGCACTGTTGCATGCTGAGATGAGATATCCAAGCACTGTTGCATGCTGGGAGAACAGCTGTCAAGTAGTGTTGCATCCTGGGAGATGGGAATGTGTGAGCACTGTTGCATCCTGGGAGAAGCGATGTTCAGGCCCTGCCACATGCTGGGAGGTGGGATTCCAAGCTGCATGCTAGGGTGAGTGTTGTCCAGGCACTGTTGGATACTGGGAGGTGAGAGGTGCTGGAGATGGGGGGTCTCTCAGGCCCTGCTGTGCGGAAGATTCACATGAATTTCAGATCCAGATGTGGGTCCACGAGGGACTGCATGCCACCGGAAGGCTGGAGCACCAAGCCCTGAGGCAAGACAGGAGGTGGAGAAGCTGCAGGACCGTGCATGGCCTTCAGATGGGAGCCTTCTAAGCTCTGTTGTCGGCCTGGAACTGGAGGCTTGCCAGAAGCTTCCTTGGTTTGCCCCTGGAGTCTGCAAGTGCCATTGCATGCTGGGAGGTCAGGGAGGGCCAGGGATGCAGCGTGCTCCCAGTGGGAGAGTTCCAAGGTTTGTGCTGGTTGGGAGCTGAATGGTTTCCAGTCTTTGAGACGTGGAGCTGGACTCTGCAAAACCTGCTGCATTCTTGTTGTGAAATGCAGTACTCAACATTTCAGTACGTTGTGAACTGAACTCCCGTTGTGATGGAGCTTTATAGGGTCACTCACCTTGGTTTCATAGAGAAGTAAGTTAAGGCCCAGGAGAGTGAGGCTGCGTCACAGTCCCAGCCCGTTGACAGAAGGACCGGGAGCTTGGCCTTCCACTCCAGAAGCGGTCTTGGCTCCCTGCCTCGTCGCTTCCATCGGGGCTGTTTTCCTGTGTGTGTTCTGTAGGCTCGGGGCGTGGTGTGGAGGACACAGCCTTAGCTGGGAGTCAGGTGGTCTCAGTTGCAGCCCAGGCTGAGCCCTGGATCACTGTGTAACCAGGAAGGAACTGTGGGTGTTCAGGAGTCCACGGGTCTGCAACGGCAGCGAACACGCTCTTGTTACTTGTTGCCTTAGAGCGACATTCACCCCTCCCTCTCCTCTGACTCGGTCGGCCGTGACTTCACTTAATTCAGCACATTAACATGGGTGCATGTCACCTGCTGGCCACACATGCTCACACGGCGTGTGCATGCAGAGTGCATGTGGCTCGATTTGAAGACCCAAGTGTGTGTGCATGCGTGTGCACTGTACATGTGATCCACACACTTGCATGTGACTTAATCCACAGAGCACATGTGCCTACGTGTGCACTTGCATGGCAGCTGTAATTTACCAACACGCATGGACCTAAGGGCACACGCGTGTACACATGCATCGGACAGGCGTGTACCTGGCGTTGTAAGCATGTACAGGAAGGAAAGGCACTTGTCCTGGGGAAGGTGTGCTAGTTGTTACATCCAGAGAAGTGAGACGAGACGAGTGGTCTCAGGCCGGCGCGGGGCAGCGGGCACTGTGGGAGCCACAGGCTCTTGGTAGGTGTCAGCTGGGCTGGAGGTCCTGAAGGGAGGTCAGTGTGAATGGAGCATGGCCCAGCAGAGAGGGGGAAGGGTCCGAGAGGGTCCCTGATTTCTTTAGGGCTGTGAGATTCAGGCAGAAGTCTCTTCCCTCTTGCAAACGCAGTCATCCAGGCATCTGTCTGTCACGTGTGTGTCTCCCGTCTCCCCCCCCCCCGCCCGTCCCTCCCGCAGACTCAGCACGCTCCTGTTCTGAGAGCAGCGCCACTCAGTGGGGACGCGGGGCTGGTGTCATCGTCAGACCCCTGTGCTGTTCCTGGGACAGCACAGAGGCCTGGCACAGCGGGGGTTCACAGACATTCTCAGCCAGATGTCTGAGCAAATGGGAGCGATGGTGACACTGTCGTTGTGGTAGTGACATTGGGTGTCAGGTGCCCTGGTTGGAATCTGGCCCACATTTAGGCTGTTCCTCTCCCCAGCCCCCAGCCTCCCACTCCCCGTAAGAAGTATAGCAGCTGCTGCTCCGTGTTTTGGGGACATGGTCAGTGCCTTTGCTGCCCTCCTGGGTTCAGAGCCCAAGTGAAGTAGAAATGAGATGAGCAGGTCAGCGTGTGTTGATGGTGGGGGGAGCAGAAATGGACATCAGAAGGACCTCTGAGGAGACACTTGGAGGCCAGGGGGGAGCCCCCGGTGGCAGTGTCACTTTGGCAGAGCTGGGAAGAATTGTTGGGGGTGCAAGATCCAGCAGGAAGGTGCCCCAGCCAGCATGTTGGACAAAGCTGACCCGGGGGAGGTGGTGGGAAGAGGCCGGGCACAGCTGGGGGGCAGGCAGGGACCAGCAGCAGACAAAGGTACATGACTCACGGAGCTGTAAATACTGGCCACATCTGACTCAGAGGCCGCCCTTCATGCCTCTCGCTGCCTTGGTCCCCCGTCTGTGCTTCTGTCACCTGCCTCAGGCTCCGGGAGCGAGTGCCGGCCCCTCTCCCTGCAGAGCGATCTCCTGGGCCTGGAATGCCTTTCTGGCAACTTCTCCCATGCTCTGCTTCCTCCAGTCACCCACGCCCTCACTCAGGCGCAGCAGCTCATGGGAAGACATCCCTTGTCCTTTCTTGGGGCTCCCATGTGAGGCTGGGCTGCTCCTGACTGCTGTGCTGGGGACTGGAGGCAGCAGGGGCTGGCTCGAGTACTCAGGTCCCTGCCAACCACGTGGAAGACCTAGGTGGAGCTCCTGGCTCCTCCCCGAATGGCTGCAACGGCTGGAGTTGAGCCGATCCAAAGCCAGAAGTCAGGAGCTTTTCCCCAGTGTCCCACAAGCCCAGCCTCACCTCCCGGTGCCTGACAAGTATAGGGTCCCAAGGCTTTGGGTCACCCTCAATTGCTTTCCCAGGCCACAGAGAGGGGGCTGGATGGGAGGTGGGGCAGCCGGGACGTGAGCGCCCTGTGCACCTGCTGGCCAGGGCTTGTCGCTCTGTAGATTAACCTCTCCGTATGTGAATGTGGCAGTCCGTCAGGAGGGGACTTAAAAGATGGGATCTTTGGGGTCACAGGATTCAAGGATCCACAGATGATACCAGAAGGACCAACCACAAGTTTGTTTTTTGTACCTGGAGAGGTTGTTCCTTTCCTTTGCTCCCATCAGCACCCTGAGGTCCCCTCAGGTTTGGGGGGAACCAGGGACACACAGGCTGTGCCTTCAGCGGACACCCAATCCCCCCGGATCAGCCTGAGCCATCTCCTCTCTCCCCCCAACCCTGCAGGCCTGCTGTTACTCGTCAGTCTGGAGGTGTTCCGCCATTCCGTGCGTGCCCTGCTCCAAGGAGCCGGCCCAGAGCCCCCGACACCCCCACCGCTGGCCTACGAGTACTCCTGGTCCCTGGGCTGCTGTGTGGGTGCCGGCCTTATCCTGTTCTTGGGGGGCGGCTGCTTCTTGCTGCTCTCCCTGCCGACCTGGCCCTGGGGCTCGCTCTGTGTGCAGCAGAGACCCTCGGCCAGCTAGCACCTGCCCCCCCACGGGTCCTCCCCCAGCCCTGCCCATGTGGGGTCCTCCTGTTCCCTCCTGTGTAGCATGACTTGGGCATGGGATGGGGAGAGGACTTGAATTTCCTAACGAGGGTCGCCACCTCCAGAAGGCTGGTGTGGACCTGATGGGGTGCCTAGGGGGTGGGGGAGGGAGCTGGGTTCCTCACGTTGGGGTTCAGTGTCTGTGATTCAGGGCAGCAAGTCCAGATTTGGACTTGGTAAATGTGATCTGGTTTGGGAATTAAAGGTTTGGAAATTAGCTGGCTCAGATGTGGAGTCCGTTTGTGTTAGGATGTGGGCTGGGTGTCTGGGGACAGGAGGGACGACAGCCCTCCACCCTCCCCACCTTGCCCATGTGTACTACTGATGGCCGACCCACCAGAGGGCAGGGAATCCCACCAGGCCCCTATGCAGGTCACGTGCTGGCAGCCTGACTCTGCCCCGCCGTCCCTCGCCCCTGTCCTTGCAGGAGGGCAGTCCTCACCCAGTGTGGCTGGGGCCCTGATTCCCAGGGACAGGGAGAGCCGGACATGCAGGGAGCAGGCCAAGCAGAGAGGACGACGGGCTTGCCAAGCATGTGGAACAGCCTTGACCAGACCTTGAACCTGGACCCTTCAGGCCTGGTGGCCCCTGGGTCCCCGTGGATCCCTGCGGTTGGAGCTGCCCAAGCCAGCTTGGGTGGTGGCAGCCAGTAGGGGAGGGGAGCACTCAGACAGCAGGCAGGGTCTTGGGGAGAGGCCAGACGGGGCTTTGAGGTTCCTGAAGGACAGAGCCCGCGTGTCCTGGTCACCCCTCCTAGGGGCTGCCGTCTGGCACAGGGGAGTAGAGCAGGGAAGTGACTTTGTCTGAGGCACACGGCTGTGGAGCAGAGAAGGTGGGATCTGAGCCAAGTCTGTATGAAGCCCGGCCTACCCCCAACAAGACAGCCCAGGCTGCGAACCCCAGGAGACACGGCACGGGAGCCCCCACCAGCACAGGGGCCTGGACATGTACAAGTGAGGGCGGGCACTGTAGCACAGTGGGTAAAACCCCCGTCTGCAGCACCGGTATCCACTGGGAGTGCTGGTCAAGTGCTGGCTGCTCCCTGCTAATGTGCCAGGGAAGGCAGTGGGGGTGCCCGAGTCCTTGGCACCCACAAGGGAGACTCGGCCCAGTCCAGCCCTGGCAATTGCAGACATTTGGGGAGTGAGCCAGTGGATGGAAGATCTCCGGAATTCTTCCTTTCAAATAAATGAATCATTTTCTATTTTAAAACAGAGAAACACTGGCAAGATCTTGGGCTCACCCCGACATGCCCGCAGCAGCTGGGGCTGGGCAGGACTGAAAGCAGGAGCTGGGCATCCAGCCGGCCTGCTCCCCGGCTGGCAGCGAGGGGCCCCAGTGTCACCTGTCGTCCTCAGGCTGTGCGTCAGCCGGAAACTGGAGACGAGAGTGGGGCTCAAACTGGGACACCCCCAACATATGAGCTGCCGGCATCTCAGCCACCCCAAGACTTCTTGATAAAATTCCTTGTGGGGGGGTCAAGGGAAGGAGCGGGGCTGGGGATGTTCCAGGAGGGAGGGTCCAGTGCCCCCTCTTCGCTTGTGGTTCCCCCGTTTCCTCTCTCACCCTGGCCGGTACTCGCCTCCTGCTCACCCCCGACTCCCTCCGCCTGTTTCCCAACGTCAGCCCCACGGGGCTCCTTCCTTGCTTAGGTTTGTTTCCACCAGCTTGGGCCACCAGGCCCTGGCCGGCTCCAAGTTGAAAACCCGTAGTTTTTGTGTTTTCCTGACTTTATCTGTCAGCGGTTACTGACAAGTTCCCCAGCTTTGTTGGGTTGTCCCTGGGACACGGGCAGTGCAGGTACTCAAGGTGTCTGCGGGGACCCGTGATACGGGGGTCCGTGGCGGAAGGACCACGCCAGCTCGTCAGCCTAGGCCACTTCTCCATCATCGTTATCATGATTGCAGGACACCGACGATCCAGGGGCTTGGGCATTCCCAGGTGCCCTGCTGTCTTTGTTAACTGTAGCTGCTGGGTCAGGCTGCCTTCTCTCCCTGCCAGCTGAAACTTGGCAGCCTTGGGGCAGCCATCCCTGTGCGCTTCATGAGGAAGGCAGCCACACGTGCCAGGCGCCAGTCAGGGCCCAAAGAACCCAGGTGAACCGAATGCACCAGAGAGCACCTGGCCCGGGAGGCCGGCAGAGCACACGGGCTCCCCGCGGACGGCGGGAGGGACCAGGAGCTACACGCTCGGCCCCCACCTGGCCTGGGGCCCAGGGCATAACCCGGAAAAAGGTGGACCCCTCCAAATGCGGGGGTACAAAGGGCTGGCGTCTGATGACTCTTTCCTCCTGCAGTAAAAAGTGACAGAGCTGCGAGTGAATGAAGCCTGGTAAGTCAGGCACCGTGTACGAACCTGTGTCGTGTTGCTGCTACAGATAACTGTGGACATTGTGTAAATGTATAATGAAGATTTACTTATTGCTTTGAAAGGCAGAGTTACAGAGAGGGAAGCTCTTTCATCTGCTGTTTCACTCCCTAGATGGCCACCATGGTATGGAGCTGAGCCGGTCCAAAGCTAGGAACTTCTTCCGGGTCTCTCTCCCATGCAGGTGCAGGGTCCCAAGGCTTTGGGCCGTCCTCCACTGCTTTCCCAGGCCACAGGCAGGGAGCTGGATGGGAAATGGAGCTGCTGAGATTAGAACCTGTGTCCAGATGGGATCCCGGTGTGTTCAAGGCGAGGACCTTAACCATTACACTATCGCGCCGGGCCCTATGTTTCTAACTCTAGATTGTCCCGCCGCCAGCAGGACCTTCTCCCCCACCCCTCAGCCCCATGTGAGGGGACCATTTTTCAGCTAGGGCTGCACCCGAGTCGCAGGTCCCCGGACGTGTTCTCAGGAAAGCCTCTCCTTGCTGCTCGTGGTGCTGGGCGGGACTAGGTAAGCTCCAGTGTCCAGGGCAAGTGCAGGAAGGGCTGGGCTGGGGCCAGTGGCTTGAGGCCGGGTGCACCTGCTGCTTCTCCTTCTCCCGTCCAGCCCTGCTTCTCAGTCATCATTGTGAGGAGCAAATGCGCTGATAATCCCCCGCAAAGCTCCCAGCAGCCGGCCTGGCGCGTGGCTGCCATGCCTCCAGCTTCCTCTCTACCAAGCTGCGCCCTGGGCCCCACATGACAACAGCCAGGGCTGGGCCAGGAGCTTCCTCCAGGTCTCCCGCGTGGGCGCAGGGTCCCAAGGCTTTGGGCTGTCCTCTGCTTCTTTCCCAGGCCACAGCAGGGAGCTGGATGGGAAGTGGAGCTGCCGGGATTAGAACCAGTGCCCATGTGAAATGCCTGCACTGCAGGTGATGGCTCTCCCTGGTACACCATGCTGCTGCCCTCCCACTGACCCTGACAGGGTTGTCTTATTCACCAAATCATAATGATTTTCAGATAAAAGTGATTTTTTCAGTATAAATATTGTCCCAAATTGTTGATGTTAATTGTTGGACTCAGCAAAGGGAATCTGTATTTCATTTGCAAAAACCCAACAGGGATGGGGGCAGGAGTTCCTGCCGCTGGACGGACCTCAGGATGGCCGCAAGGGACACCGGGGCTGCCAGCCAGAGGGGAGCCCTGAGCTCAGGACACACCCACCCTACATCCGGGCTTGGTGCCCAGGACAGGCAGGACAAGCGCCTGAGGTCTTTGCACATGTCCTCATGCCTTCCTGGCCTGTGCTTAGGGATGGAGATACACTCCCAGCCAAGTTCTCCGTGACCAGACCCCTGCTGGAAGACACCCATGAGGCCCTGCGGCACCACACTGTCCCGCCCACCCACCCGTCACTCTCGCTGTCTGCCCACCCACCTGTCCTCCCAACTGGAGCATGAGTTCTGTGCAAGCCGGGCTGCCTGCTGGTAACGGTGCTGGGTGTGCACGGTGGTGCCTAGCTGAGTAAACAGGCAGCGGCTTGCTCGGCCCTGGAGCCCTGTGGGACCCTGCAGAGAGTCCGAGTTCAGGGGATACCCTGTCCGGCCTGCAAAGCCAAGGGTGGCCATCCAGCGTCCCGCCAGGTCTAGGTCCGGGCCTCCTGCAGGTTTGTTCAATGCCACGGACACTGTTGCCCACGGCCTCTCCACCACGGTCCCCCAGCAGCCCTGGGACTGCTCCGGCTCCCCTGTGTCGCAGAGAGACTCATTTGTCAGAGGGCCAGCTCTGTGCCTTGGTGGGTAAAGCTCCCACTGCAGCACCGGCATCCTGTGTGGACACCGGTTCAAGTCCCAGATGCTCCACTTCCCTACTGCCAGCTATAGGCCTGGGAAAGCTGCAAAGGATGGCTGGAGTGCTTGGGCCCCCGAACCCAAATGGGAGACCCAGCAGGGGTCCCAAGTCTGAAGGAGTTACCCAAATCTAGACGTGCAAATGGAAGTCAGTTAGCTGTGTACATTTGTCAGTTTGACTTTGGGCACCACAAGCGAGCCCACAGGAGGTTGTGCCGGAGATGCGTGTGGTTGGACTTGCCTGGTGAGGCTGACACGGGCTTGGTGCGGAGCCAGGGCCTCCTGGGCAGGGAGGGTCCGACGCGGTGGAGGTGAAGCAGGAAGCAAAGGCGTGGTCATCATGACGCTCCGTCAGGGAGCTACCTCGTGAGCTGAGCCGGACGCCACGAGTCTCCCGGTGGCTGGCTGGTTTTGAGATCGATTTACTGATATTAGAAAGGCAGATTTACAGTTAGAAAGATCTTCCAAATGCTTGTTCACTCCCCAAATGGCTGCAACCACCGGAACTGAGCTGCTCCAGAGCCAGGAGCCGGAGGCTTCTTCTCGGTCTCCCCTGTGGGTGCGGGGTTCCAAAAGCTGAGCCACCCTGTGCAGATCTGCTGCCTGCAGGGCTCACAGCCGAGGAGGGCTGCCCCGGGCCTGGAGTGGCACAGCAGGTGCAGCCTCTGCCTGCAGGGCTCACAGCCGAGGAGGGCTGCCCCGGGCCTGGAGTGGCACAGCAGGTGCAGCCTCTGCC